TCTCGGATCGCCTCCCAGAACCAAGGCCTCGGCCGCCAGCTCCGCGCGGGGTCGGACTGGGAGCTCCCGAGTGGCCCCGCCCACCGAGGCCGCCCCGTTCACAGGGCACGCCCCTCCGCCCTAGCGCTCAGGGTGCAGCGCTGCAGAGTCCGGGCCGAGCGGCCCCTACTGCCCCCTCCCGCCTCCCGCGAGAGTCCTGCTTCTCCCCTTCAGGTGTCTCAGCTCCTGGGGAGGCCCCCTGACCGCCTCGGCTCCCCGTGTGCAGAGGTCATTGGTTAAGCCGTCCCCCGCCTCCCGGAGCCCGGACCACGCACCCGCAGGATCACGTCCCCGTCGAACAGGAAGGCAGGATAAACGGACCGGCAGGTGCCAGGAATGCAGGGTAAATGGACCGGCCGGTGCGGGGCGGCCGCCGCGTGATCGCTGGACCAGCCGCAGCGGGGCCCCTCTAGCTGTCGGTGGGTATGACCGTGTGGGTGGCGGTGGGCTGCGGTTGGGTGTGGCGAGTCTGAGCGACCGAGGATGGCCCGTGCGAGGGTGAAACCACCATGCTGTGACAGTGAGGCGGGGAGCTCACCTGCACTGACCCTGGGTCGGGCTCCCTGGTCTACAGGCACCGGAGAGGGGGGTAAAGACACAGGTGCCCCCTGGCCCCCCGCAGGCTGCACGCTCCTAGCGGCTCCCTGTGTGCCCCGCTGCCCTTTGTACTCTCAGCTCCTGCGGCTGCTCCAGGGGCTTTCGGCAGGGGGAGGGGCAGAGTGAAAGAGTTTACCCTCGGGGCCCAGAGAGGCAGGCTGCCAGGGAGGGGAGCTCTGTCCCAACCCTCCTGGGGGTAGGTCTGGGCTGCTGACCCACATACCAGGGGCAAGCAGGCTTGGTGGTTCACCGGCGGTGCCATGTTAATTGTTAAACCACACTTTCCACCCCACCTCAGCACATCCTGCTCCCTTTGGCCATAGTTCCTGCATTCCTGACTCTGGGTCGCCCACCAATCCCAGTGGTCCTGCAGCGGGAGTGACCCCTACCCGCCCCCCGCCCCCCAGCACTGTGGGCGAGAGCGCCGTGACCCAGACCCATCCAGTGCTAACGCCGCCTTCTGAGCGGGGTGTTACTATAAGGCCCATTTCACAGGTGAGGAAACTGAGGGCAGCCAGCTAGGAAGAAGCCCATGTTCTTAGCCTTCCCAACCAGGAAGCAGTCCCAGGCCTGCCTTCCCCTCCCTCTCTCCCTGCCCCCTCCCCCCTTCTTCCCTCCCTCCTCTCCCCGCAACACCAGGACCTGTCTCTCCCCGGCAGGACAAAAGTGCTTTTATTTATTGTGCCTGTGAGATAAAAGGAGCGGCCCTGGTTGGGCCTGGCTCTCCGGCGTCTGCCCTC